AAAAAAAAAAAAAAAAAAAAAAAATTGTATAAGAGGGTCTGGTCATGTACAACACTGTGGAATATGATGTGAATAAGATGCACGACACTACTCTGCTACTTAAGTTTAAAACAAGACATGTTCTCAATCTAAACACATTCTCAACATGTAGTTATATTAACTTCCTTAATTTCAAGAATTACCATCTTTCCTGCATCTCCCTAGTCCATATACAGGATACGGAGAATCAATCTTAACACCTGCATTCATTTCGCTCGCTTTATCCTTTTTCTTTTCCTACCAAAAGCTTTGGAATAAAAAACTTAAAATAGTTTTATAATGCAATAACTGGAAAAAGTTCCATAACCTTTTGTTATCTAAGTGACTGTTGGTTAATGGACGAGGCATTAACTTAGAAATGAACGTGGTACAGGGTCCCAGCCCTAACCAGGTCCATCAACAGTCTTTGTTTCCATCCTTTTTATGCCAAAAATTCAAAGTAGGTTGCTCTTACGAATATAGCAGGATTTAGAACACAACTAAATTAGCTATCATTAGTTTCTCAGCGCGGTGAAGATATATTAACACAGGACACTGAAGTGTTGTTCCATATTCTTTCAACAAACCTATCTAGCGATCTGCGGATCAATGTTAAAATCTAAAAATTATCTATGACTACCATGGGATTTTGGCTGAACTAAGACTAGGATTTAGTCTCTCATTGTATCATCTAAAACTTAACACGGTTTCTCTTTCAAATGCTGGTATTCCTTCAATGGCCATTGGCTGTATCATCGAGCAATCTTCTCTTCTCTAGCCTCGAGGGCATCCACCTCCTCATTTGAAAGGAGATCAACAATTGGTTCATATACATCCCAGTCCTTCCTTTTTCTGAAATAGTCACATTTGAAATGAATGAATCCAAAAACTGGACCAAATGGAGTTTTCTGACTAACGGATATCGAGTATGTGCTAATGAGATACCATTGCATTGAAATACAGATAAAACATCCTCGTTCCAGAACATCCAATTTCCTTTTCTCTTCCATATTTTATTGATATGAAGAAAAGAAAGAGTCGTACCGAACAACACTTGATCTAATGCCAAATAACTTCACCAGGTCCAATGCAGGTACACCTGTCTTACTGTCAAAAAGATAATTATTAGGAAACAGAAGTCCTAAGGATAGTGTAAGGGCTTATGACTAGTCACTAGATTAAACAAAGATGGGCATAAACAGCAAAAGCCAGAGATTAATGACGCTAACCTGGCTGAGATATGTTCCGTTACTCTGCGTTTCTTATTTGCCCTACTTTCTCTTGCGGATGCAACACTTTGAATTGCAATCTGAAAAAAATAAATACAAAAATGGTCACAGTCCTTGAAGTAGCTGGCTTTCAACTATGAACTGGTTGAAAGACAGGTAGAAACAATTAGGTCACATACACCAAATGAAGAATGATATATCCTCACCTCATAAAGTTGCTCTCGAATTGATATGGCAATTGCAGGCTGCAAAGAAAGAAGTCAACTATCAAGAAGAAAGCATCGACAGCTTTTCAAATAAAAAGGATATTGAAAATGACAGTCTCACATAGTTGAAAAGATTTTAGGGAGGAAAGTAAAAAACTGTTTTTGCAATCCAGTGATTAGTTTCTGTAAGTAAAAAGTGATAAAGACAAACTACCAACACAACTAGAATTCAATACTTTCAGAGAAGAAACAACTACAGATAAAATACTCTCTCAATGGGATGAAGTTGGGACCAAATCTCATTTAAAAACTGAGCTACATAAGGAAAGTTTACTTATACACGAACATAGATATAAATCTTTCAACGCATATAATACAAAGGCCTACAATGCCTAGAGGTTTAACATCCCTGTTGAATGATTACTAATTAAATAGAAATTACAATCTTTCTGTTTAATTTTAACAAAAGCTCTTTATTGTAGACTGTAGTCTTGTTCCTCCAATTCCAATTATGGATTGGATCTTAACTCTCTGACAAAAATGTAAAAAGTAAGCAAGTTCAAGACAAATCGCTCTAGCTGGGATTCACACAGCTGAATCAAAATAAGCAATCTTTTCTTGTAACCAGTATAACAAAAAAGAGACTGGGGAAAAGAAGGATGTAATATGGCAATAACAAGACGATTACCTTGTAAATTACTTGTTTCCTGTGTGCAACACAATCTCTAGAGTCTAGACTATTCTTTTGACCACAGCCCAATATGTTTGTCCATATTTTTAAGTTAAAGACCTCTTAAACATAGAAAAACTAAGTATGAAATAAAATGCTGAACTCATTTATTTTTAAAACACTATATCAAAATAAGAAAATGTATATGAGCTTAATATGTATATGGCTTGTGAACTTGAAAAAATAAAGAGAATTGAAGTAATTTAATAACACCTTGATAAGAATGTGACCATCTAGAGTTTTTAGTCAAAATTGTCCCTTATGTTTGGGGGTAAGTCTAACTTTGTCCTTTATCTATTGCCCTGAGCACTTATTGTCCTTTAAGTTTGCTAAACTTGAGCAGGTTTAGTCCATTTAACAAAAAACCCAAAGGGAGACATAAAACTAACAGCGATTTCACTGAGTCAACTGGGTAAAGAAACTTTCAGTACTCAAATTTTGCAGAACTGATGTAGTGAACCTAAACCTGTTTAACGGGTCGGGTTGACCCGGTTCCGGACCGGACCAGAATGGTAGTAAACCAGACCGGTGGAAGGGGGCTTGATAGGCTGGGTTTGGGGGGTTGGTCCGTATATATATTTTTTACCGGTCAAACGCGGTCAATGAAAATTACTATTGAACCGGTTAACCGGACCGGCCCGGGTCAACGGCTATTTTTTTTTTTTTTT